AATAGGAAGCATTTCTCCCATTTTAAAGATGGAAAAATTGAGGCTTCAGAAAGTTAGCTAATGTCCCTAGGTCACCTGATTAGTAAGTGGCAACCCAATTCTGTAGGTCTCTCTAGTTCATGCTACCTTTGCCTTTTCTTGATGCTTTTTTTTTTTGAGGTGGAGTCTCACTCTGTTGCCCAGACTGGAATGCAATGGCACACTCACAGCCACCCCAAAGTCAACCTACTGGGCTCCAGTGATCCTTCTGCCTCAGCCTTCCAAGTAGCTGTAACTACAGGTGCATGCTACCATGCCCGGCTAATTTTTTATTTATTGTAGAGACGAGGGCTCACCAAGTTGCCCGGGTTGGTCTTGAACCTGCAGACTCAGGTAATCCACTTGCCTTGGCATCCCAAATTACTGAGATAACAGGCTGAGCCACCAAGCCTGGCCTTCTCGATGCTTTCTATAGCAGATATTTATTATGCATCAGTTATGTACAAAACACAGAGTTCAATGTCCCCAATGATATTCTTTCCATATCTTTGAAACTGTTTTAATAGCAAGTAACATGTTAACAACTTTACAAGTTACCAATTGGCTTATTATCTTATTCCCGCTGGTGCACTTAAAAAACTATCTAGTGCTGCTTATAATGTTTTTCTTTAATCCTACAATATGAAAATTTTCCTCACAATGTTTTCCACAAGGAAAATATGATATTCTTGAAATATGAGTGTAATACCCCAGCTATTTTTTTTTTTTTTGAACTAAGAAAGGTAGATTTATTAAGGAAAGATACATTGTGAAGGGGACAATGGGCAGGACAACAGCAAGAATGTCTAGTGTCTGCTGTCTGCGGCACCCCAGCTTTTAAATAGTGCTGCATCTACCACACACTGATCTCTGAAACTCGGTTCCTATAAAGAGAAACTGATTCCTTGAGATGATCGTTAATGATCAACAGCCTAAAATACACAAAAAAGAAAAGGCATTTTCTTGTGTGGAAGCCCAAGAAATGATGAGAAACGGACTGTCCTGACTCTTGATCACACACATCCTCTCCATCACAGAGGAAAATCACCTTGAGGTTTCCAAGTAGGTAGTTAAGCTTGGCCAGTCATCATTGCAAACATGGTTCGGCCCCCAGGGATACTGCCCATGAGGTGCTCACCTCCGCCCTCCTGGGGACTATTTCCCCCTCACGCTGACTGAACACATTCCTCCTCTGCACTCTGCAGTTCTGGCAGCCTCGCTGTTGAAGCAAGTCACGGCTGTGGGCATGCCTGGCCTGGGGTCCCAGGATGCTCTCCTCACTCTCTCGTTACCCACATCCCCCACCACTCCCTCCTGCAAGAAATTCAAAAAGCAACATACCCAACAGCACCTCCTTCTGGGCTTTTCCAAAAGCCTGCTCGACCACCCCCATAATCCAAAGGTCCTACAGAGCCTCAGTTACATCAGACCCACTTTCCTGACTCACTGGTTTCTGCCAACAGTAGCTGCATCAGTCTAGCCTCCTAGATACCAGTGCATCTTTCATTTCCCACTGGCTCACTACTCCTGTTGTACTAGGGTGGAGAGGTACCAGCACTGGAGTCAATTTTCTCGAGTCTAGGCAAACTATACTGCCTGATATGGGGCAATTGAAATTAATTAAAATGAAAGAAAATTCCAATTCAGCTCTTCAGTCACACCGGCCACATTTCAAGTGCTCAAGAGCTACATGTGGATAGGAGCCGCCACACTAGACAGCACAGCATTAGGGGGCTTACACTCCTGAAAGCCTCTTGCAACCAGTTCCTTAGGTTCAACATTTTGCTAGGAAGGTAAGGTGGGAAGAAAAATTCCCACCAGGTGTGGGACTTTGTATGAATCACACCACATCTCCGTGAGTTACCACACTGGACCCAGGCCCTCAATTTCTCTTGTTCCCATTTCTGTAAAGGCTGTTCTTCCACACCCCACAGTTCTTTCATTACCAACTGCCAGAGGAATCCTCTCAATTCCCACCAGGGATTCGGCTGTGCTGGTCTAATGTCCACCAAACAAAATGTGAACTCTGATCTACCCCATATGCTCCCAACTCAACTTCCCAGTCCCAACTCTCACATCATTGCCTGTGCCCCAAATAACCAGCTCCCTGGCCCCATGCAAGCCCCACACAGCCACACTCTGTCTTCCCTCCTGCTGTCCCCTTAACATGGAGCGCTCCCATGTCTTGGCTGCCTAATGAACTCCTCTCTGCCTTCAGAGCCCATTCAAGTGCCACATTCCCCTGGAAAGCATTGTGGTCCCTGCAGACCCATGCTTTCTAGACTCCCTTCAGATTCAGAGTCTGGCTTCTGGCACAGCCTTTGAGAACTGTTTGTCGGGAGATTCAGGGGTGTATATCAGAGCTTTGAAAACCTTCAGATGCCCAATCCCTTCCCACCAGACATGTTGAATCCAGGAAATTACCCAGCACAGGCTGGCCTGCAGAGGGGCTGAGAGGAGGCTTACAGCAGCAGCCCTGGTCTCATTAGGGTTGCCTGTTACAAGCAGCTAACAGATACATTAAAAAATGTTCAGCCTCACTAATCATCAAAGAAATGCAAATTAAAACCACACTGAAATACCACTCCACTCCAGTCAGGATGGCCATGTTCAATAACTCAAAAAACAACAGATGCTGGAGAAGATGTGGGGAAATGCGGGGGCCTGCCCCGCGAGGGTCGTGGGATGTGTTGAAGGACAGACGGATAGGCGAATATTTTTTAGGCCCCTCAAGGTTACTTTCTGTTTTAGCTGATCTGTCATAAAAGTGTCTGATTATTATATTCTGAGTTTAGTAAAAACCTATTCTATAAATGTTAACTTAGAGTTTTAACTATAGTATTAAGTAAAAACCTTAACATAATCTTTGTCATAAGTTAGTGAAAATAGTGTTATAAATCACCTACATAACTCCTAGATAAGTGTTAGAACTTATAATGAATTTATAATGAACTACTATAAACTTGTGCTTTTAAAAATCCTTATGTCTAAACACTAAACTGTATAATCCTAAATCAAATAAGGAGTGGATATATTTATATCATTTATTATTTAAGCAATATTTAGTAATTTATAACCAAGTGAAAGAAAGTATTTTTGATGTGTTTTAGGGTTTAACCCTTGTATATGTTAGAAAAGGCCAAGTGGCATAGTGGGAAAAATGGAAAAATAAACCATGATATTTTCAGGTTAGCTGTGATTTTTTGTATAAACATGTCATCTTCTTTTTCCACGAATGTACATAATTTTTTTAGCTGTATCAACAGCAAAGACAAAAGACAGAAGGGCCTCAGTTGTCCAGACTCGCTTTGTGGCCAGGGGTCCTCAGTGCACCTGGACTTTGTCATCAGGCGGGCCTCCAAGGCTGGCTCCCAACATATCCCCCTTTTTTGTTTTTTAATATGAAGCCGTGAAATTTTGTGTTTAGTCGAGAGATGTTATTTTTCAATGGTTTGAAGATGACTGGAAGCAAACATAACAGTAGCAAGATTATTTTTCCACAAATTTTCACACTGATTAATATAGATAATAATGATTTTTGATTGACAAATGAAGAAAAATTGTTATAGATTGGCAGAGCCAATTGGGTGAATTCAAATTGTTTTTTAGCAGAGCTAATGTATTGTATTTTTTGATGAAGTTTGGAGAGATCCAAACTTATGTTGGAATGGTTTTAAATTCTGGAGATATGATTTTTAATCCTATCCCAGGTATGAATAGACTTGTTTATTTGGAGAGGTGTGACACAAATTCATTTAAACTCTGAATGACATCTCAAAGCCAATTTAATTTTCAAGGCTATAAGTTCCTGTCCTATAATCAAAATAGCCTTTTCTAATGCATTAACTTTACTTTCTAATTTTTGGTCAATAATTTTTTGAGTTGTTAAAGTTAATGAGACATTTTTGGATAACTGATCTGTAAATGTAGTAGTATGTACTTCTTTAGCTAAAGTTATGGCTGAAATGGAAACTGATGTAGTAATGGCTATCAAAGCTGTAATTTTTAAAATTAAAGTTGATATAAATCTCTTTGGTCGTGACAAGAGTGAGTTAACCTCATATCTAAACACTAAACTATATATATCATACCAAAGAGATGTAAGATTTATAGGAACTATTAAATAAGAAGGCTGTTTAACAATTATAAATTAGAAAAGGCCAAGTGGCATAGTGGGAAAAATGGAAAAATAAACCATGATATTTCCAGGTTAGCTGTGATTTTTTGTATAAACATGTCATCTTCTTCTTCCACGACTGTACAGAATTTTTTTAGCTGTATCAACAGCAAAGACGGAAGACAGAAGGGCCTCAGTTGTCCAGACTCACTTTGCGGCTGGGGGTCCTCAGTGCACCTGGACTTTGTCATCAGGCGGGCCTCCAAGGCTGGCTCCCAACAGGGAAAAGGGAATGCTTCTACATACACTGTTGGTAGGAGTGTAAACTAGTACAACCTCTGTGGAAAACAGCGTGGCGATGCCTAAAAAAATCTAAAAATTGACCTTCCTTATGACCCAGCAATCCCTGCACAAGCATGTTTATAGCAGCACTATTCACAATAGCAAAAACATAGAACCAACCGTGCTGCCCATCAAAAGTGGGCTAGATTTTTTTTAAATGTGGTGCATATACACAATGAAATACTATGTAGCCATAAAGAAGGATAAAATTATAGACTTCACAGCAACTTGGATGAATTTAGAGTCTATAATACTCAATGATCTATCACAGAAACAAAGAACTGAGTACCACATGTACTCATTCATAAGCGGACCCTGAACTTTTATCACAATACTATAAGAAAGGGATTGGCAGTAGCAAGAAACTGCTGGAGGAAGGCAAATAATATTAATAAGGGTACATAATCTCAAAGGGGAACCAAAGGGAGATCCAAAGTTTACCTGTAAAATTACCCTGTATCTACCTAATCCTAAATTGTACCCCATATCTTTAGAATAAATTTTTTTAAAAATTCATACTCACTTTTCAAAGAGCACAGTCTTCTTTCCCAACTGCTATTGGCTCTGGCAGAAGCTGAAAATGAGATCCTGGAATCACAAGAAATAAAATGACAAAACATTAAACCATACTAGGGAATATGAATGAAGTGTTAACAGCTGGCCAGATTGCTAGCTTCAGCTCTTCTCCTCAGCACAGACCAACTGCAAACATCCTGTAGCTTTAACAGTGTGTCTCTTGCTCAGGTCACCTCCCCCAGTTAGGCAATTAGGCAACTGGGCACAAAGGGCAGGGAGTCTCAGATGAGTCAGGCCTAGGAAGAATTGTAGGAGGTCAAAGAAGAAATCAGAAAGTAGTCAAGTATGCATATGCTGCAGGACAATTAAAGATCTCCTTCTCCATCTGGGATTAGAGAATATCATGTCCAGGTAGCAATCACCAAACAAGTAAGGACAATATTGCCGCAAGAGTGACATGGGGGCTGCACCACTCAAACACTGGGCTGGGCAGAAGCAGGGAGCTACTGCAAAGGCTCAGCAGCTGGAGAATGAGGGGACAGGCGAAGGAATTAAACCCACAAACCCCTACACCGTTTCAGATGGATCAAAGAGTTAAACATAAAACAACAAAACCATGAAAGTTCTAGAAGAAAACATGAGATCTCTGTTTTAAAATATCACCATGGGGAAGGGCTTTCTAAGAAAGATATAAAACCTAGAGGCCATAATAAGAAGAGTACTAAGTTAATGGCATAGAAGTATTTGTAAATGTCTATATTGAAAAAGATAGCATAAATAATATTAACATTTGTCAATTCATATCAGAGGCAACAGACTAATTTCCTGAATGTATAAAGGATTCCTAAACATCAAGAAAAACAACAGAATCTAATAGAAAAATGAGCAAATGATCTCAACAGATAATATACCAGAAAGGAAATATTAATGATGCTTAAATGTAGAAAAAGAGGCTCAATCTCATTTACAACAAGATATATGCAAATTAAATCTACAGGGTGATGGTGATCTCTATTTATCCCACTGGAAAACAACAAGAAGTTGAATAACAGACTCTGTTGCTGAGGCTATGGAGAAATAGATGCTCTCATATAATGTACCGATTTATATTCCATCAACAAACTCTATAGATGGCAATTTGACAAAATCTGTGGCAATGTAAAATATACATACCCTTGACCTAACAATCTTCTTTTCTTTTTCTAGGAATGTATTTATGTTTATACCTGAACATATATAAAAATATGTTTGTACAAAGTTATTACAATATTATCACTAGTAGCAAAAGACTGAAAATCAGTCACATGCTCACTTATAGGGGGCCTGTTAAGTGAATGATGACACAGCTTAACAAAGGAATATCACATATAGCCATTAAATACAATAAAAATTAAATACAAGCCATTAAAATAATGAGACAAGCCGGGCTTGGTGGCTCAGCCTGTAATCCCACGCCTTTGGGAAGCTGAGGTGAGTGGATTGCCTGAGCCCGCGGGTTTGAGACCCACCCAAGCAACTTGGCGAGACCTCATCTCTACAATAAATAAAAAAAAAGTTAGCTGGGCATGGTAGCGCGCGCCTGTAGTTCCAGCTACTCGGAAGGCTGAGGCGGAAGGATCTCCGGAGCCCAGCGGGTCAAGGCTGCAGTGGCCGGGAGTGGCCACTGGCACTCCAGTCTGGGCGATAGAGTGAGACTCCAACTCAAAAAATAAATAAATAAATAAAAATAAAATAGAATAATGAGACAGTTCTATTTGTCCTTATGAGTAATGACTTCCAAGGTACATTGTTAGCTCAAAAAAACATAAAACGGAAGACAGTGAATAAAGTCGTACATGGTGGTGCACACCTGTAGTCTAATGCTTTGAGAGGCCAAGGTGGGAGGATCACTTGAGCCCAGGAGTTCAAGGCTGCAGTGAGCTATGATCATGCTACTGTACTCCAGCCTGGGTGACAGATTAAGATTCTGTCATAGATAAATAAATAAGTAAATAAAAGCATTTTAAATAAGAGAGTAGATAAGAATAATATCTTTAGCATTAAAAAAAGAGATAAGCCGGGTTTGGTGGCTCAGCCTGTAATCCCGTGCTTTGGCAGGCTGAGGTGAGTGGATTTCCTGAGCCCGTGGGTTCGAGACCTGCCTGGGCAACTTGGTGTAGACCTCATCTCTACAATAAATCAAAAAATTAGTCGGGCGTGGTAGCGCACACCTGTAGTTCCAGTTACTTGGAAGGCTGAGGCGGAAGGATCGTTGGAGCCCAGCAGGCTGAGGCTGCGGTGGCTGGGAGCATGCCACTGCACTCCAGTCTGAGCGAGAATGAGACTCTAACTCAAAAAATAAAAAATAAATAAAAAATAAAAAAAGAGATAGCAATAGAAAATATATGTTATATTTATATATGTGTAAAATCCTTCTGGATGAATACTCAAGAAACTGGTAATCATGGCTAGCACTGAGAAGGCAAACCGGAGTGCTGGGAACAGAGATGAGAAGGAGACTTGTCACTGACATCTTTTATATCTTTTGAATTGCTACCATGTACATGTATAAAGTTTTTTCTATTTAATTAAAAACTATAATATAAACCCCACAAATAAAATGGTCCATTTTGTACTGTCCAATATGGTAATCACATGTGGCTGTATAAATTTAAATTAATTAAAATTAAATAAAATTTAAAGTTCAGTTCCTTGGCAGCATGGACCACGTTTCAAGTGCTCCCTAGCCATATGTAGTATGTGACTATCACAATGGACAGCAAAAATATGGACCATTTTCCTTATCGCAAAGAGTTCTACTGGCCAAACCTGGACTCTACTAGTTCAAAAGGCCGATTAGAGATAGCAACCAAACCTGAACTGTGTCTCATGATGAGGGAAGAAATACAACACAAAGGATGGAAATCCCTCCATCTCTACACATGGCTAGATGGCCTATCTACACACTATATTATCAAAGAATGACTGAGGCATCACTGTCCACATTACTGTCCAAAGGTTAAACGTGCTTGGCAGAAACTTTAGTCCTTAGGCTCAAGGTCCAGCACTCTAAGATGAAAGATGATAGGAATTTAAATTTTTACATGATAAACACTCTTATCATTCTACCCTAAACCCATATAACCATTTGCAAATTATAAATCCTTATCTCCCTTGTGGTTCTGGGAGAACTATTGATTAGAGGGCTCACTCTCTCCTGCTTATACCAAAGCACTAACAATTGGTTCCCCACAGAGGTTCTTGTTTAAGAACCAACACAGCCCACTGCCCCCTCGCTGCTTCAAACACTTGGGCAGCACTGTGGGCAAGAGAACTCAGCCCACCCACAGCTGGTCCTGTGGGTGGAGGATCAGAGAGAACCAGAAAACCCGCCTTGTTACCCAATCCCCTGGAGAAGCAATAGCCAAGGGAGGGACAGGTGGGCAGATCAGTCAGGGGCTCAGTTGGAAAGCAGGAGCTTTGTATATCCCATGGTGCAGCTTAAAAAAAATTGTATTAGCTAAGAAGCAAGGCAATGAAACATGTCACACATGCCCTGGCTTGACCCAGTACCTTAAAAACATCAGCCTCTCGGGTCAAGATGTGGGTTGTGCAAATGGCAGGGGGGTGGGAGGGGGGTTGGCAGTTGAGGGAAACTGCTGAGGAGGGAGGAGCACGCCTCATCAGCAAGGGTACCTGCATAATGAACATTTGTATACCTAACCCTGAATTGTACCCCACATCTTAAAAAAAAAAATGTGGGCTGTGGTGATAGTCTAAAATACCTGCTAACTTGAAATCATGTTTAAAACAAGACAACCCTAGAGAAACATAAGCCAGTCTCCTGCTGGATAGAACAGGAACCAAAGCCACTTGACCCTTTACCTCCAAGGAGCCCACAACAAGCTTGTGTTTGAACACTGCTCTCTGAATTAGTGCGAATACATGCACCATCATCAGCTGGGTCACCCCTCAAAGGTAAAATGCTAGAAAGAGCATCATGTAAATGATTATCTTCCCCATATTGGAAAGAAATTAAAATAGCCCTCTATTGGTGTGTTATTGCAGAGGGCAAAAAGAGAACCTCAGCACCCAAAACATTCTCCCTTTGCCCAAACCTACACTCCTGAACAAAAGGAAAAGCAAGGAGATCAAAGAGGGTTTCGTCATTTCTAAAGGAGGTAAACTTGGTCTACAGTACTTTCCAGCTGTAGGAGCAAAGCTGGTATTAAACAAAAAAGGAACTCTATTAATAAAGACTGGTAGGTATGTGTGTGTGTGTGTGTGTGTGTGTGTGTGTGTGTGTGTGTGTGTCGACCTCCTGGGCTTAGGCTAATTTTATTTTTTGTAGAGATGAGGTCTCACTATGTTGCCTAGGCTGGTCTCAAACTTCTAGGCTCAAACAATCCTCCCGCCTCCTAAAGTGAGTCTCACTCCATTGCTAAGGCTGGAGTGCAGTGGCATACTCACGGCCACCCCAGCACTGACCTGCTGGGCATCAGTGATCCTTCCACATCAGCCTTCCAATTAGCTGGAACTATAGGTGCATGCTACCATGCCTGGCTAGTTTTTTTATTGATTGTAGAGACGAGGTCTCACCAAGTTGCCAGGGCTGGTTTCAAACCCGCGGGCTCAGGCAATCTACTCGCCTTGGCCTCCCAAAGTGCTGGGATTACAGACTGAGCCACCGAACCTGGCCAAGACTGGTAGGTTTTAACAACACAAGACTTCTGGCTCCCAAGCACAAAGTGTAGCATTCAGGGCCTTTTGTGAGCTGATCCCCACCTTTTTTCCTAGCTAGAATCTCCTCCCCAGAGATCTCAGTAACACAGGAAAATGAGCACCAGAAAAAAGGACGTGGCAAAATCTTGTGGTTTAGAGTAAAACATAGTTTTGTTTGGAGCTTTATCCAAGTAAATAAAATAAATACTAAATCTGTCTACTTAAAAAGTATTAGTAAATATGAAATAAAGTTTAGGTTATAATTACAGTTCTGGCCAGGCCCAGCGGCTCATGCCTGTAATCCCAGCATTTTGGGAAGTGAAGATGAAAGGATTGCCTAAATCCAGGGATTCGAGACCAGCCTGGGTAAC